GCTCTGAACCGACGTGGACCTCCAGTGAGCTGCTCAAGATTCGCGTCCCTTAAGCTTAGGGTTTAGGGTTTAGGGTTTAGGGTTTAGGGTTTAGGGTTTAGGGTTTAGGGTTTAGGGTTTAGGGTTTAGGGTTTAGGGTTTAGGGTTTAGGGTTTAGGGTTTAGGGTTTAGGGTTAGGGGGGGTTTCCGAAAATAGGGGGACCCTTTCGGCGGGGTCCCGTTAAGGGGATTCTAGTCTATTTGGGGTATAAAAGGGGTACCCCTATTTTGGGAAATACCCATATGGGCTTCGGCCTTTTCAGAATGCACAAGACGAAGGCCAACAGGGCAATGTGCTGTTCGGGGAAGGGTTGCAACTTGACAGGATGGTTATGGCAAGCCGCTAGTGAATGAAATTCCCCTGTGAGGTCCGGGGCATTTGCCGAAGATGCCACATTGGAAACATCCCTAAACCCTAAGGCCCTAAGCCCGAGACATCCAAACTTCAGAAAAAGAAATCTGCTGGACTTCGGATTGCAAGCTCTCAGGGTTTTAGGGTGTCATTGTTTCAGGGTTTGGGGTACTCGAAACCCTAAACCGTAGCTCTATATTACGGGGGTGATGGAGGATAAGTAGATGCTTGGGTCTTAGATTTTGCCCAGTCCATGAATAGGCGACGGCCCTGGAAAGAGATCGATCCTGTTCAGGCTCGGGGTTTCGGGCTTAAGGTTAAGACGCTACAAACCTAAAGACCTAAAGCCCCAAAAAACCCTAAACCCCAACACCCTAAAACCCTAACACCCTAACACCCTACATCCCCAAAGCCCTAAAACCCTAAACCCTACAACGCTAACGACCCTAAAACCCTAAAACCTAAACACCCTAAACCCCTAACCCTGAAACGCCAAAAGGCTAAAACCCTAAGCCAAGGTACTGGAGGTGCGCCTCCAGCATCTTGCCAAAGGCGTCCTGGCCGACGCTCGCCTCGTGCCGCTGGTGGCCCTACCATCTTCTGGCGTTTAGGGAAGGGCTTAGGGTTTAGGGTTTTAGGGTTTAGGGTTTTAGGGTTTAGGGTTTAGGGTTTAGGGTTTAGGGTTTAGGGTTTAGGGTTGAGGGTTTGAGGGTTTGAGGGTTTGAGGGTTTGAGGGTTTGAGGGTTTGAGGGTTTGAGGGTTTGAGGGTTTGAGGGTTTGAGGGTTTGAGGGTTTGAGGGTTTGAGGGTTTGAGGGTTTGAGGGTTTGAGGGTTTGAGGGTTTGAGGGTTTGAGGGTTTGAGGGTTTGAGGGTTTGAGGGTTTGAGGGTTTGAGGGTTTGAGGGTTTAGGACATTTTAGGGTTTTAGCTTCGGGGTTTAGGGTACTTAGGGTTTGAGAGCTCAGGATATTTTGGGGTTTTAGGGCTTTAGCAGGATCTGTAGGGTTTAGGATCTGTAGGGGTTTCAGGGTTTAGGCTATGGAGGGTTTAGGCTTTAGACATTTTTGGGTTTGAGGGTTTTACAATGTTTAGCGTTTTAGGGCCTTTTAGGGTTTTAGTGGGTGGTGATAGCTGAGCCAGCCATCCTTGTCAGAAGCCATGTACAGCTGCTCTGTAAGGTTTAGCGCTTAGGTTTTCAGAAGCCCTATCAGCCCTGAACCCTGAACCCGAAACTCTGAACTCTGAACCTTATACACCCTGAGCCTTATAAACCAACCCCGAACCCTAAACCATTTGGCTCCTAGGAGTTCGGCTCAAGTAACCTGAAAGCCGGGAAGTCAGAAGCCAGAAGCTGTCGACCCTGATATATCGAAATCAAAAAACTCTGCAACTGCGCTCTTGAACATCCCGCCCAAAGTGCTTTGCACTCTGGTGTACCCCCAGAGCAACACAACATGATTGAATATGACTTGAAACGCTGCTAACTCCCAAGACTCTGAACCCCAACCCCCGAGCCCTAAACCCTAAACTCTGCAAACCCAAAACAGACCTTCCAGCCGAGCCACGTAAAAGGCTACAGGGCACCTCCCTGCAAGCAGTGAAGCCAGATGCACGGCCGTGTTGAGCGCGCTCCCACCTGCACTTGACACAGGCCGTCCACTCCTAAGTCAGGTCATAAGACGTTCTCTAAGTACTCACAAAGAAACTGTAACCGAATACAAGACAACTAACCCTAAACCCTAAGAAGCCCTGGCCCTAATCAGCGCACGTCAGGGTAAGGTCCGCCTCAGAGATTCGAATTCAGGCCTTCCAGGGCCTCTACAACCTCGGTGTGATGTAGGTGTAGGAACTCGCCACCAGGCCGCTATTTCAAGCTTCGGAAGAACGAGTCATGGATCATAGGTCATTGGGCCGCTTGGTGCAGGCCGCCTGCAACAAGGAGGGCTGTACAGCCGCTTTGGGCGCAATTCAGGTCCCAGCAGTTGATGGCTGAGGGGTTCTCAGGGCTGATGGCCTACAGCTCTATAGGGGTGTCCCTAAATCCTATAAACCCTACACCCTAGACCCTAAATCCTATAAACCCCAAACCCTAAACCCTGGAACAGGAGGG